TTTTTTTTTTTTTTTTCAGGCTTCTTCTTTCCAATTGCTTAAATTGGAAAATTAACTGCCATGATCATTCTTCACTGTTAAAACACCTGTTGTAAACACAAAATGGTCGTGGCATTTATCAATCCTTCCTTGCATTGGTTCCCCGGATCATTGGTCGGTTTTTACAGAGACAGACTCTTAAGGTGGCCTTCTGCAGTTTTGATGGATTATAACAGTCCAACTTCTAACTCTTTTGCAAAATTTTCCAAGATGTTTTTCCTTTCTCTATTTACTGTTTACTGAAGTCTTTTACCATTCTGTGTGAAACTTGAACAATTAAACGTCAACAAATGGCCAAAATGAACGACCGAGTACCTAAGAAGAAACTGGGCACTAGTAGATTAAATCAGGTTTTTATCAAAATCTACCCGTATGACCCCACTTCAAAATTTGAGGGATGAGAAATTGGCTCTGATTTAACATTCATGCAAAGTAAAATAAAAATCTGTAAGACAGATTTTTCACAAACTAAGAAAATGTGAAATCAAAAATAGCTCAAAATTTGTCTTACTCTTAGTTAGAAGTTGGGCTGTTATAATCCATCAAAACTGTAGTAAGCCACCTTAAGTGAGAACAACGTTAATGAACCGATGTAATACTTTGTTTGTAGTTCCACCTAGGGTATTGCTACCATCTGCTGTTGTACGATCATTACCAGGCTACAAAGTATGGTGTTCAGCTACTGGAAGTCCTCCCATATACATAGCACTGAAAAGAAACTCTAAAGTGCTTGTAAATACAACCGCCATTGCAAAAGTCCGATTATACGAGGAGGGAAACTACACTTGTGTAGCAACAAGTAGATATGGAACGAACCACAGCTATTTCTTGGTTCTCTTTAACGGTAAGATGTCTAAAAGCACTCGGACCTCTTTGTTTGAGGCTCTCAACTCAACTATGAAGAACATTTGATCGTTTCAGTCTAACGTTATGCACTGAAAGTAGCGCCTGAATGAATATGTTGAGCGTTTTACATTGCTATGAGAGGGTCTGGATTAGGTTTAGCTGAGAGCTGGCAAACATTTTGAATGTTTGAAACTCTTAATTCCATTATGAAAAAACTACATCGTTTCGAACTAACGTTATTCATTAAAAGTAGCGCCTGATGTTTTTTAAGTATATCCTAAGAGTTGAATATGTTGTCAGTTTTACATTGTTGTAAGAGGGTCTGGATTGGGTTTACATGTAGCTGATAACTGGGAACTGGAAAATTTTTCAATATCATCTGGGAAATAATCCTTTTTTTAACTGATAGCCGACGTCTACACAGTTTACTGATACCTGATAAATTTGACCGATAGCTGAGAGATTTTACATTTTACTGATAACTGAGTTCCAGAAACCTCATCTAGCAACTTTTACAAGGTTTCAACATACGGGTTTAGTGACCATCTGTAAAGTGCTTATTTTTCTGTAGTGTGGTTCTGCTCCTCACTCTTTCAGTTTACCAGGGTGATCTGTATTCCGAAAGAGTACAGTACACTTCTTGATAAGATTAGGTTATCTTATTAAGATAAAATTCCATGTCAAAACAATAAGGCCCGGTTCAAACGTCGGACTACATGTGTCGAACCTAATACCAATTTGGGTCGATCCAAATAATTAAGTTAGGCAGTTGATTCAAACGTCGAAGCCAATTAGTCCAACTTAATTGCAATCAAAGTGGCTATGAGCCTTTCAACTTGGAAAATGGATCGATTGTAAACAGTGTTACCTTTGTTACCTTTTGATAAAAAAAAAAAAAATTATCCAACGTAGAGTCATAATACCACAAGGACAGCACCGCGTCTCGTTCTCTCAACAAAGTTAAGCCCTTTTCGGCGGGAATAATGCCTGGATGGGTGACCAAATACGAATACCCTATGTCGTAATAGCTTCTTTTTTCTCTTTTTTTCTTTTTTTTTTTTTTTTGCATCCCTTTCCAAGACGATATTATTGACTGCTGAACTCACAG